CTCCCGCCCCTGACACGTGGTCCGCGGCCATTTTTCCGCCCCTGACACGTGGTCCGCGGCCATTTTCCGCCCCTGACACGTGGTCGTAGGGAGGGAGACTCTCCCTCCAAGAATAGCCGCCTCCCTGTCCCCCACGCCAGAACGGATTAACGGTAATTACATTGAACCTTATGGGGAAATTTGCTTCAGGTTGCGACCAATTCGGGGTGCGACCAGAGTCACGGAACGAATTAAATTCGTAACCCGAGGTTCCACTGTATAATTGGGAGTCACTCAGAGAGCGTCATCAAGGCGCTAGCCACCCCCAGAATTGGGTAAGGTTGTTATCACCCCACACAAGCTGGCAGAGCCAGGTCTTTAATCCTTTCTGGAAGGCTGGGAGAGTAGGGGCCTGCCACACCTCTGGAGGGAGAATGTTCCAAAGGGCGGGGGCAATGGCAGAGAAAGCTCTCCTTCTGGACCCCGCCAGGTGACATTCTCATGCTGATGAGACCCGCAACATACCCTCTCTGCCTGACTGGGTGGGACAGCTTGATGTGACAGGGGTGAGATGGTCCCTCAGGTAACCTGGACACATGGCATGTAGGGCTTTAAAGGTGATAACCAACACTTTGAATTGGACCCGGAAGCAGACTGGGACCCAATGCAGCTTGCGTAGTAAAGGTGTTATATGCGCCATTCTTGGGACACTCAAAATTGTCCGCACGGCTGCATTTTAGACCAGCTGTAGCTTCCGGATACTCTTCAAAGGTAGCCTCATGTAGAACGCATTGCAACAGTCTAGCCGAGAGATGACCAGGGCGTGAGTGACTGACCAGAGAGCCTCCTGATCCAGGAAGGGGTGTAACTGGCATACCACACGGAGGTGGGCAAAGGCTCTCCTGGCCACGACTGCCACCTGCTCTGTGAGCAGAAGTTGTGAGTCCAGGAGATTACGCACCAGGTCCATCCAGGGCAGTGCAACCCTGTCCAAAACCAAAGATGGTAAATCCTTGGATACAGAGGGGCCTCCAATCCATAGCCACTCTGTCTTATCAGGGTTCAGCTGAAGCCTGTTGCACCCCATCCAGACCTCTACAGCCTCCAGGCACCGTGAAAGGGTGGTCATGGCATCACTCACCTCACCCAGGATGGAGATGCATAACTGGGTATCATCTGCATATTGATGATACCTCATCCCATGGTGGCAGATGATCTCATCCAGTGGCTTCATGTAGATGTTAAAAAGGAGCGGAGAGAGTACCAAACCCTGGGGCACCCCACAAAGGAGGGGCCGCGAGCTGGACCTCTCACCCCCAATCAACATCAACTGGAATTGACTTTGGAGGAAGGAAGAGAACCAACGCAAAACTCTGCCACCCACTCTCAACTCCCCAAGTAGACCCAAAAGGATACCATGGTTGATGGTATCGAAAGCTGCTGAGAGGTCAAGAAGAGCAAGGATGGATACACTACCCCCATCTTGCTCCCACCAGAGATCATCCATGAGTGAGACCAATGCCATTTCCGTCCCGTATCCGGGCCTGAAACCTGACTGAAAAGGATCTAGATAATCCGTTTCCTTCAGGATCCTCCGGAGCTGCAACACCACTACCTTCTCAACCACCTTCCCTAAAAATGGGAGGTAGGAGACCAGACAAAAATTGTCCAGTATGGTGGGATCCAGTGATGGCTTCTTGAGGAGGAGGTGCACCAGCACCTCTTTAAAGGCAGCTGGAAACACCCCCTCCCTCAAGGATTAATTCACCATTGCCTGGACTCACTCACATGTCACCTCCCGGGAAGCTCTGACTAGCCAGGAGGGACATGGATCTAGTTGACAGGTGGTGGCATTGACCGTCCGGAGGACCCTGTCCACTTCCTTGGGTTCAACAGGATCAAACTGTTCCCAGATAACAGGGTAAGAACATACCCTGGGCATCTCTATAGACCACGCCTCACGCATGGCATCCAACTGGAACTGGATCTAAGCAATTTTATCCTCCAGATGCCTCCTCTGTGCGACCCTGTAAATGGGCTACTAGGCCCCCCTTCCCCAAAAGAGATCAGGTGATCTTAAACAGGGCCGCCGGGTAACATTCTGCAGATGCAATAAGAGCGGGGAAATATTGATGTTTCTCTGCTCTTACCGCCACAAGGTAGATCTTAATAGTGGCTCTAGCTTGTGTTTGGTCGGGTCCAGTCCTTGTTCTCCTCCAGCGGCGCTCTAGATGTCTTTTAACCCTTTTCAAAACCTCCTCATTTCTGTGCCCTTTGACTGGAAATAAGTCAAGGGACTATAACAAATTGGAGTCCCACACCATGAGGCTACCACTGAATGAAGCACAAGAGACCATGCAGAGAACCAACATCCTCATCTGATAGTAGACCAAAGTCACAACTATTTAGAAAGATTTACAGCATTCCTGTCCATAAATAAATAAATGAACAGAGATTGTACAAATGATTGCAATCTGTGGAGGTCCCTTCTTCATGAAGTGCCCTAAACTAGAAGTGATTCCTTTTCATTTTTTAGCCCAAGCACCATGGATTTTCTACACAGCATTTGGAACAAAAGATGAGAATATAACTTTTTAAAAAATCCTTCATAAAAAAAAAAATACATTGGTTTTAGATAGATTCTTTTTTTCTACATTTAACGTGCTAAAAAGCACCTTAATGCCATTCTGAAAGTCTGCTTTGCCACCTTAATACTAAATTCTTAATCTAATCTATACTGTAATCTTATTGTCAAATAAAAAAGTATGTCAGACTTTTTAAATTTTCAATTTCTTACCGTGTTGTAAACAGAGTAAGCTGACAGGACATGGAACAAAGCTTGTTGTCTGTATAAGAAAAAAAAATAACATTAAGAATATCAGGATGGGGTCTCAACGTTAGATTTTCAGCATCTTTATAAACCAGCCAAGATGTTCTCTACTTGAAGTGTTTCAGAAGAAATATCCTGCAATTATAGAGCAAATAAATAACATCAGGAGCAATGGCTTCCTGCTCAATAGATTGTTGGATTCATCAGACATAGTTCTGATGCTCTTAAGCAGGGGTTCTCAAACTATGGCCCGCAGGCTGGATACGGCCCGCCAGAGTCATTTCTCCGGCCCGCCTGCCTGATTGGCTGCCGCTGCTGTCTCTCAGAAGCGAGTTGCAGGCAACGCACGGGGAGGGAGATTGCAGAGCTGGACTCTTCTACATTACAGGTATACCGGGCCATCCGGCAGCTCTCCTCCTCTCCTCATCCTCTGCAGGAGGGATCCTCTGTGCAGGGTGATCGGTGTGTCTTTCTCCAAGTTGCTTGTGTCATTCTTTCTCCCAATTGCCCACCCCATTCTTGCAATCCCTCGGAAACCACC